TCTGTTTGTTTGTTTGTTTGTTTGTTTGTTTGTTTGTTGAGTTGGTTGTTTGTTTTATTTGTTTATTTATTTATTTATTTATTTATTTATTTATATTTGTTTATTTATTTATTTTTTTTGTTTTTTGTTTTAGTGTCGGGCGTTTGCTTGGTTTAATTTATTGAAGAAGTGTTTTTTGTTTTTTATGTGTTGTTTGTTTTTCTTTTTGTACGTTGTTTATTTCTTCTTCGTTTGTTTTGCTTTTTATTTGCTGCCCAGACCCTGTCCGTTGCTCTTGCTGCTGCTGCTGCTGCTGCAGAGACGCTGCTGCTGCAGAGACGCTGCTGCTGCTGCTGCAGCTAGATGCATGCATGCATAGAAACAAATATAAATGTATTTGTTTGTTAGGGCTTTCTTTGTTGCTGTTTGTTCTTAGGTAAATACCCGAAAGGAGGCTGCTGCCACACCTGCGGGTCTATTCATCATTTGCAATATGAATGCGCTTCGTTCTTAGCTCAGAAAGCAGAGCTGCAGCAGGCGAGAGAAAAGAAGAAGCAAATTAGAAGCAGCAGCAGCAGCAGCAGCAGCAGCAAAGGAGGAGGAGGAAAAGCAAGCAGCAGCAAACAAGCTGAAGAAGACGCAGATCTCTACTGGCTGAAGCAGCTAAATGAATAGATTTAATTAAAAAGAATTACAATAACACCGCCTTCCTAAAACAAACTCTAAAAACAATACAAACACTGCATGCAGGTGTACATACACCTGCTGCTTTTCTTCTTTATTTTATTTCTTCTTTCTTTCTCTTTCTTTCTTTGTCTGTCTGTCTGTCTGTCGGCATTTGTTGCTTAGTGCATTATTGAAGCGCCTTTACTAACTTTGACGAAGCCTCTGTTAATTTGTATTTGTTAATAAATAAACTGCGTTACATTATGCATTTCTCTGAGCTTTAGAATGAAGAACAAACAAAATCAACAAAATATAATAAAATAATATTAAAGTTTAATTTACTTAGGCAGTGCAAAACCAAAGAAAAACAAAAACAAAGCAAATTATTAGTCATGCAGTTTTCATAAGCAGCATCATAATAGAGAAATACGAGTTAAATAAATATATTCTCTTTATATTCACAACAAGAACAACAAGATATATGTATATATATTATATATATATGTATATATATTCAATATGTGTGCGTATACACATATATATGTATATGCGTCTATAAATAGATATATATATATAATATATATTTATTTATAATATATATTTATATAGGTATTTCGCTGTGCTTTTGATTAAAATGTTGTTTAATAGTAATAATGAAGAGTTTGAATATTATAATAATAATCATAATTATGAAAAGCATTATAAATACTACCACCGCACGTAAACAAGCAGGGAGGGAGACTCTCCTGGTCTTTCTTCGCCGATTTCTTTGCTCCTACTGTATATATTAAATTAAATTATGTTTAAAATGCATCTTCACTGATGCTGCAGCAGCTCAAACAACACGAAAACTCTAGCCCTGTTCGAGCAGGGACTGCTGCAGCAACAGCAGCAGCACATGCAACAGAAGCTACAGCTTTTGCAGCTGACGCAGCTGCTGCTGCTGCTGCAGCTTCTGCTGCTTCTGCAGGTGCTGTAGCTTTTGCAGCTGCTGCAGCTTCTGCAGCTGACGCAGCTGCTGCAGCTGACGCAGCTGCTGCTGCAGCATCTGCATCTCCTGCAGCTCCTGTAGCTTCTGCAGCTGACGCAGCTTCTGCACCTGACGCAGCCTCTGCAGCTACTGCAGCCCCTGCAGCTCCTTCAGCTGCTGTAGCAGCTCCCAGGAGGAATAGAAAAAGTAAGCGACTGTGTTTGCTGGTTGGCGTTGACCTCGACGCTTTACAAGCGGGTTAGCCTGCAAATTCAACGAAGAGGGAAACGCAAGAAAGTGCTGTATTTGTGCATTCTGTGAAATGAAAGAAGATGCAGAAAAGAACAAATATAAGACGAAATTAATGGGAAGAAGATATAAAAGGACTTACTTTACATTTAGTACCCGTTCAAGTGCTGGAATCATCGTTTTATATTTAAACATGTCGAACTCTGAACTAGAGTACAATTTCTTGTATTTCTTCTTCAGTTTTTTGTATCTTTTCTTGTACTTTCTCAGACTACTATTTCCGAAAAGCTGAAGAAGACTTTCCCCTTGTTTTTGATCTGGAGCGTTTAGAACTGCGTGGGAGGTTGCGGTGAGGGAAAGCTGTTGGAGCTGCTTAGACACCCGAGCGGTGTGCTGCTGATCCGTCGAATTTTCCAATCTTCTAAGGTTATTTTGCTTGACAAAAGGTTGCTGAGAAGTATTTAGAGGTTTAACTTTAATTTGAATGGAAGAAACCTGCACATAGTGACTCAACACTCCCACCATGAAGGCGGCGAGGAGCGGGAGAATCCGCAGCTTCATGGCCCTCAATTTCGTCTTTTTTGAAGAGTTTTTCCGAAGAGTTTTGATTAAAAAACAAATTTAAATCAAATAAACGACATTTGCGCTTTGTTTCCATCAAACCGCCCGCGGGCGCATCGAGACAGCCTCCACTCCACCGCCGACTTCGCTGATGAATGTTCTTACGGCAATAGTGTATAAGATAGAGCAGTTTTTTCCCCTTAATCTAATAAAAAGTATAAAATATAGTTGAAGTATTTAATAAAAGGCTTCAAACTCCTTTTAATTGCGCCGAAGTGCGAAAAGAGGAAAGACAAAAATCGAAGACGAAATCTAACGGCTGCCGCCGGCCTGAGGCAGTCTGTGTTTGAGTTGTTGCTGCATGCGTTTATATTTATATGCAAAAATTAAAACCTTTCATAATATTTAAAAGAATATATTGACATTGTTTTGCATTTTTTGCTCCTCAACATATTTTTTGTTTTGTTTTTCCTCTCCCAACACACTGGGCGCCGCCGTCGCCGATGCTGAGAGGTCTACGTATTCTTGAATAAAAACGTTAAAAAATTAAAAATTAAAACAATAGTTTTAATTTAATTATTTATTTGCAATTTTTATTTTATTCAAAAAACAAATATTTCAATAAGTGCCGCCGTCAGCGTCTATAATCACCACCCCACTTCGTCCTCCGACAATTTTTAGTAAAAGTTGAGATATGAAATAAATAATTAAATTAAATTAAATTAAATACTTCAATTTGATTTTCTAAGTAAATTTATTACTTTTTACCTCCTTCTCTATCTTTACTTTTCTTTTACTTTTCAAAAGATTAAAGGCATCAAAGGCTTAGGAAGAAGAAAATGCTTTTTATTGTCTCCTTCTGTAGATTACACCCTCATACAAACACACACAAACAAAAACAACATTCTTTACTCAATATACAGATAATATATATGTATATATATATATATATACATATACATATACATATATATATACATATATATATGTATATATA